GCGCGCTCACTACCTTAGTACATGCGCTCGTAATCTCTAGATTAGATTACTGTAACGCGTTCTACGTGGGGCTCCCTTTGAAGCTGTTGTGGAAACTTCAGGTGATGCAGAATGTGGCAGCCAGACTCCTTACTGGAATGAGAAAATACCAACATATCTCTCCTACTCTGGCCATGCTGCACTGGCTGCCCATCCGTTTCCACATTGACTTCAAAGTGTTAATGCTTATATATAAGGCCCTAAATGGTGTAGGACCCCGATACTTGGCGGAACGCCTGCTCCCAACTAGATCTACCCGGATCACCCACACCAGCCAGGAGGTGAGGCTGACGAGCCTGATGCCGAGAGAGGCCTGGAATGAACGAACACGAAATAGGGCCTTCTCGGCGGTGGCTCCTCGCCTCTGGAATAACCTTCCTCCGGCGATTCGTGCAGCCTCTATGCTGGGCAGTCAATATTTAATTCTTTATTTTTTCTTTCATTTATTATTTCTTTTATTATTGTATGTGTTATGGACTGTTTGTAAAATTCTTATGTTTTATCGTATACACCTTATTGGAAGCCGCCCAGAGTGGTCGACCAGACCAGATGGGTGGGATATAAATCAAATAAATAAATAAATAAAATAAAATAAATTATCGAAATCTATATTCTAAATTTTTCATTTAATCATCAGCTGTAGGTTTCTATTCATTGCAGTTTGCAAGATTAGTAATATTCACTTTAACATTCTTTGTCTTGCTAGCTTTTAAATGAAAAAAACTGCAATTTTCCCTTCTTTGCAAAAAAATAAAAATGCAGGAAATTGCAGCCACAACAGCTTGGATTACTGGCTGATGTGGAATGTCAGTAGTCTAGTAACTGAAACTTTCCTAACACAGACAGTGTGCACAAGGCAGTTCTGTATCCCAGTGAACAGTACCTAATTTTGCGTGCTTGGCTGGTGCTGCTGTTATTGAAGCAGGCCAATCACGTCTGGCAAGATTGTAGAAAACCACTCACAGGGTGGTGACCTATGCTTCATATTCATCAGTAATTCCAGTACTTCATCAAAGATCTCCTTCTTTACTCAGTGAAATGCTGCTGTTTACACTTACTTCAGATGCTATAGCCATTTTGAAGTAAGTGGCTGTTTTGGCTCTGGTTTTGCCAAGAGCTCTGACTACAGATATAAAATTTCCCTTTTTTTTCTGAAGAAAAATCACGACCATTCCCCCCTGCTTTTTTACAGAAAAAAGGGAAATTTTCAGAAATTTTACATCGCTAGCCCTAACCAAAGAAGGGTGGGTCAGCTGTGAACATTTCTGACAAGGTCATGAACAGGCTGTATGCCATGAAACACTAGAAAGCCACAGCATTGCAAACTATAGAAATGGTAATGGTTGCCGAATCCTTTACCCTGGGAGTTTTTTTATTTAAATCATTTTTCTAGCCTGTGCGATTTCAAACACCTTTTAAAATTTGCAGGACAATCTTCAAAGCAATCAGTAAGTTTATGAGGGTTCCCAATAAACCTGCGTAACTAACTACAGTGGTGCCTCGATTTATGACCATAATCCATTCCAGAAGATGGACGTAACTCAAAATGGTCGTAAGTCGAAGCACCATTTCCCATAGGAACGCACTGAAATGCAATTAATTTGTTCCAACCGAAGGAAGAAAATCACCAAAAAAAATCACTGCAAGACTCATTGGAAACGCGATTAATCCCTTCCAGCCGAAGGTGGGGAGAGAAAAGCAATCAAGTGTGCAGGACCCACTGGAAATGCACAGAAAACAAAGGGACCAGGTCGGAAATGCAAAGAGAATAAAGAAAAAAAGCAAGGGAAGCATGCAAGACCGTCGGAAACGGAGGGGGGCCAAAAAGCAACCAAACCCCCCAAGACCCATCAGAAATGGGGAAAAAACCCAAAAGGAACTAAACCCCCCAAGACCCATTGGAAATGGGGAAAAACAAACACACACCCCAAGACCCATTGGAAATGGGAAAAAAACACTCCAAAAACCAACTAAACCCCCCAAGACCCATCGGAAATGGGGGGGGACCAAAAATAAACCCCCCAAGGCCCATCACAGCACAGAAATATAACCCCCCCAGCCCAAAACCACGCTGCAAAAACACCCAAAACAGTTTTAAAAAGCAGAAAACAGCACCTTACCTTACCAGGCAGCCCTCTCCAATTGCACGCTCTCTAACTGCTAGGCGACAAGCAGCCTCATTGTCACCTACAGTTAGAAATTTGAATTTCCCTCCTGTTTTCCCCCCTGCCTTTTTTTGTTTGTAAGTGGAAACTCTGGTCGCAAGTAGAAGCAAAATTTTGTGGCCGGATCTGGTCGTAACTCGAAATGGTTCATAAGTTGAGGCACCACTGTATCATATAGCCCAGCCCAGTATTAGCAGCAACAGAATACAAATTATAAGAATGAATGTAGCAGATCTACATACATTTATTCAATGTGCGTGAATTAAGCATCTCAGCTTTCAACTCTGTCTCGGTTTAGAATTTTCACAGACTTTTTAATTTTTCCTGGATCCTACTCAAGCCTAGTTTTTTCAGACTGCAGGTGGAGGTTCACATGAGGGACTGCATCTCCTTATGACAGACCTGGGCAAAGTGCGGCCCGAGGGCCACATATGACCCACGAGCCGCTCCTGTCCGGCCCGTGGACAGTTTTGACTATCAAAACAATTTATAGCTTTTTGTCTAAAGTTGATCAGTTGCTTATCTTTAACATACCGCAAAAAAACTCTTTAGTATTTGTGAAGATTAACAAGTTTAAAATAAAAACAATCATAACATCACTGTTTCGGCCCCCAAACACAATTCAGATTTTTCATGTGCTCCCCCTATAGAGATTAATTGCCCACCCCTGCCTTATGAAGAAATTCTGAGACTGAGATTCCTTCCTTCACCTCCACATCTAGTTTTATTGTATAGTGGACATTTTTGCATGTCTTGTACGTACCCCTGGACTGCAAGGAGAACAAACCTATCAATTCTAAAGGAAATCAACCCTGAGTGCTCACTGGAAGGACAGATCCTGACGTTGAGGCTCCAGTACTTTGGCCATCTAATGAGAAGAAAAGACTCCCTGGAAAAGACCCTGATGTTGGGAAAGTGTGATGGCAAGAGGAGAAGGGGACGACCGAGGATGAGATGGCTGGACAGTGTCTGCGAAGATAGGAGGGCCTGGCGTGCTCTGGTCCATGGGGTCACGAAGAGTCGGACACGACTAAATGACTAAATGACGATGTACGTAGCAATGTGTTTTCCTCTTAGGACTGGACCTCAGAGAAATAGTCAGCCACTTAAAATAGTTCTTCTGAATTCCAACCTAATCTTGGCAACAGTATTTCAGAGGCAAAACTGAAGATGCATTTGTTTTTTGTCTTAATTGTAAAAATACCAGTTTGCTATATAAGCATATTTGAAGGAATAATTAGTTAAGTATTTTTCCCAATATGTATGCAGTGAGAAAGGAAAGAAATTCCAAATGGCTAAAATATCTTTAATAAGCAAACATTTGCATAACCAGAATAATTGAGGCACTCTAAAAGGCTAGCAAATTTTATTTGGCATGCGGTTTTGTGGACTATAGCCCACTTCCTCAAATGCAAAAAGTTAAGTCAATATTCTTTGACCCATTTCCTAAAATCATGTGAAATACTGTGCAAACTGACTTTGTATACAATGCCCCTCTTAAAATAGAGTAGTCATTTTAGAATAACGTTTATCCATTTTTCCTAAGCCAGTGATTCCCAACCTTGGGTCCCCAGATGTTCTTGGACTAAAACCCCCAGAAACCTTCACCACTAGCTGTGCTAGCCAGGAATTCTGGGAGTTTTAGTCCAAGGTCATCTGGAGGACCCAAGGTCGAGAACCACTGTTATAAGCAGAATTGCTAATATACATACATATATACATAAGTCTGGATTGTTTTGCCCTGTGCAGCTGGGTCCCAAGGCTTCTACATACTAGTGCTTAAAAATACAAAGCAAAATGGTACACATCCGCAAAGTCAATGGTAAAATGAGAATGGTTGATGAAGGAAGTTCAGTAGAAAAGGATCAATAAGAGTACCGTGATTTCAAAAATATTGCCTTACAGTTAGTCGTGCCAATAACATACTGAGCACACACTAGGCTATGTGTTTTTCCTGTTTGCTCTAGACAACGTGTCGATTGTATTCGTAGGGTGGGTAGAGGCCATCATAATGGTATTCACGCCACTGCTCAACCTGCTCTCGGCTTCTCTCATCCTGCTCTGTAGAAAGAAGAAAAATCATAAAATTTAAAATTAATGTTTTATAAACTCATTACACCCTAACCCTTGACCTAACATTTGGACTAGATCCCAGTTCACATAGTCCAGTACCCTCCTAGGACAAAGCTGTGGTCATAGCTAGGTGGACGAAATCATTTATGGGCTGGGGTGAGTATATTATAATAATGATTATGTGCTGTCAAGCCAGTTCTGATTTATGGAGTGACCTTTTCCAGGGTTTTCTTTGTGTAGAATATTCAGAAGTGGTTCCCCATTCTTCAGGGGTGGGGATGGGTGGGCGCCCTGGGACTGTGCAGCTTGCCCAAAGCCACACAAGTTGGCTCTTCTCTTAGGAGGCACAGGGGCGAATTGTAAACCCAAAGCTCTTATCCCACAGCCAGATACCCAATTCTCTGAGCTATCCAGCCAGCCTAGTGACTATGATTGGTGCTAATTCACACCAGATTTTGCTTCTGGTATTCAGAAGCACATAGGCCTTTTTTGTGTTGGACATTTTAGCATATAAGCAGACTTCCAGCTTATTATAAAAGAGCACTAAGGGTATCTTATGTTACTTAAACCCCAGTTCTCATCTTTTTCAGGAACAGCCATGGTTTTTAATTTGCATGCAAACAACGATGTGAAACAGGGCTTCTTTCAACTCAGGTAAGCCTTTTGTCTGGAGCCTATAAAACTAAATGGGAAAAAAAATTCAGATGTTGGCATCACTCTCGTTAATTAGGCCAGAGGTGGCCCTCTACACATTGTCGCACTACAACTTTGCCTTCACCAGCACAGCCAGTAGTGAGAAATGCTGGTAGTTGTACTCCAGCAACATGTCGAGGGCCCCACTTTGCCCACCTCCTGATCAGACCAATTAAATTATGCTAGCACTTTTAATGATACAGTCATGTGAAAAAAGAACGTACACCCTCTTGGAATACTATTGATTTTGCATATCAAGAAATAATAAAAATCATTTTGTCCTTAGCAGGTCTGAAAATTAGGTAAATATAACCTTATTTGAACAACAACATATGACTTTAATCTGTTCCATGATTTATTTTACAAAAATAAAGCCAAAATGGAGAAGACATGTATGAAAAACTAAATACACCCTTACTGCTTCCATAGGAAATGAAGCTAAATAGCAGCCAGGTGCTGCTAACTAAATGCCCTTAAGTAATTGATCATCATCAAATATAACCACCTCTATAAAAGGCCAAGTTTGCTGGTCTGGAGCATTCAGGTGTGTGTTAACACACTATCAAGGAGGAAATACATCAGTAATAATTATAGAGAAGCAATTGTTGCTGCCCATCAATCCAGGAAGGGTTATAAGGCCATTTCCAAACCATTTATTCAAGTCCATCATTCTACAGTGAAGAAGATTATTCACAAGTGGAAAACATTTAAGACAGTTGCCAATCTTCCTAGGAGTGGGTGTCCAAGCAAATTCATCCCACAGTCAGAGGAATTGCAAAAAAATCCCAAGAGTTACATCTCAGACTCTACAGGTCCAGTTAGCATGAACAAAAAATCCCAAGAGTTACATCTCAGACTCTGCAGGTCCAGTTAGCGTGAATGTTATCAGGAGAAAGCCTCTTCTCTCTAAAAAGAACACGGCTTAGCACGGCTTAGGTTTGCAAAGTTGCATCTGGGAAAATCACAAGACTTCTGGAAACAATGTCCTTTGGACAGACGAGACCAAAGTGGAGATGTTTGGCCATAACGCGGAGCTCCACGTTTGGCAAAAACCAAACACAGCATATCAGCACAAACACATCATACCAATTGTCAAGCCAGGTGGTGGAGGGATGATGATTTGGGCTTGTTTTGCAGCCCCAGGACCTGGGCACCTTGCAGTAATTGAATCGACCATGAACTGGCATAACCTTCTCTCATATGAAGGATACATCTGGAAATCCAAGGATCTTTATAATTTGTGTCTCTCTCCCAATCTACACAACTCCGCTTCTGATCTGCCCCTTTTGTGCTTCCTTTAGACTTCTGGCACAGGCAAGCCAAGGGTTTCAGATCTTTCTCCAGAACCTGGGAGGGTCTTCTGTAGTGGATCTCCCCTTCAGATCCAACCCATCCTATAATCCCTTTAATGCTTTCCCAGAGATCCTAAAATTGCAATCTAGAATTGTTGAACATTCATATTTATAATGTAAGAGAATATACATACTGTACTGGGTGAGACTACAGATGGGATTAAAGGGATGGTTCTTTTCTGAGCTTCCCCACCACCCAAATAAAAATTCCCCTTTTCTACTGTATAACAATACTCAGAATTCTAACTGGCAATTTTGGCACTAGCCTACTGCCCACTGTGTCCTGTGATGCCTCATCCTTGAGGTTGCCCTTCAATGGTGCACCAGTCTCTTCTTTCTTGAGTATGAAATGCACATGTATGCTCCACAGCTCCATGAGTCCTTCTCACAGATAGAGCAGAGGATGGACATGGGACCATGGTATCCTCTTCTCTTTATTTGAAAGTACAAACCTTCCCTTTGTGGGGGGCGTGCTACAGTGGTACACGGTGGGGGGGGCGGCACTTCCTATTGTATGTAGCAGGAGAGCTTAGGCCCTGTGTAGAGCTGTGCTGGAAGTGAGATTGTCATTTATTTCCCTCAGATTCTCCAGTCAATGCCTCTCAAAAATGATGCTGTCTAAATTTTGGTACCCTGGGGCAAAATCTGGATTATAAAACCTTCCTTTCATTATACATTTTTGAGAGGTGAGGGAAGGAAGCAAGTTTTGGGGGAGGGGGAATGGAAGAGAGGGATTCACTACATCTTTTCCAGCTCTTTGTATCTTTATTTCTCTTTAATACTAAACATATTTACTCAGAAGGAAGAAAATTTTTTACTGCCTACTGAATGTGCCTGAAATTGCAGCTTTCCTTTCCTATTCTGCTAACAGCTTTTATTTTAATTCCTCCCCTTTCCTTGGCCTTTTCTCAACTGAAAAAAACTAAGATATATCTCAGGGCCCGTTGCATGAAGTCTCTAACATGTGACATCACTATTGTTGATTATGATGAACTTTCCATTCAGAATTCATTTATAATAAATTATTGACTCTTCAGGAATTATAGAGAAGAAGTGGTTTTTAGGGGGGAAAGAAGTCTGGGTTGTCCTCTCTCCTTCATACCAGACAGACCCTATGTTTGCAGCAGTATTTACTCTGGACAGCAGTGGGAGTTCGGGAGAACAACATCTGACTGAAAAAAAACCTTCCCACATTAGGGCTTCTAATCCACTGTGGATGTGGCAGGAAATAATGTGGTTATACTGTTAAAAGCAGTAGAATTTCCCAGGTTAGGAAAGAAAATACGTATAGGAAGAGGTGTAAATAAAACAAATTTGCTCTAATTTTGTTGCTGTCAGGAATTCAGAAGCTATTACATGCCAAACCAATGATCAGGTCTTCACATCTTTCTTGAGGAGCTTGAGGATGCATTAAAAAGCATATTTCAAATTCTGATCTATAGTTCCAAGAACCTGATCCAGGCCTACTTAGTTCCTTGTACCCAGAAAGGCTTCCCAGGTGGGCTGCATCCCATTTCCCTGAGATTCCAGAACCAAAGCCCTTGTGATAGCAAAGCAGTAGTTTAAAGGCCTTGTGAATTCCAACAGCAGTTCTAGAAACATGTCAGATCATGAAAAAGATAAGGATGCTTCTGGAGATGTCAAAATGGCATGTCCAGTAGTCATGAAAAATGAACCCCAAAATCTAGAACTACCAGCTCATCAGCATTCCATTCCCTGAGATTTCAGAAAGTCTGAAACCTGGTAACTGAATTCCACAAAATGCAGCCCTAAGAAGTAAAATTATATACTACTCCAGAGTCCAACAGAAATGGGCAAAGCAGATGTTGGGTTGTGCAACTGAGAGGATTTTTTTAAAAATTCCAATTGACTCCAACTGACTCTGTAGCTCTCAAAGAGTACATTAATTGTAGAATTCTATTAGAGATTCTATTAGAGACTCCCTGGAAAAGACCCGGATGTTGGGGAAATGTGAGGGCAAGAGGAGAAGGGTACGACAGAGGACGATATGGCTGGACAGTGTCATCGAAGCAACCAACATGAATTTGACCCAATTCTGGGAGGCAGTGGAAGACAGGAGGGCCTGATGTGCTCTGGTCCATGGGGTCATGAAGAGTCAGACACGACTAAACAACAACAACAATTAGAGATCCATAGCAGCCTTCATAACTGTTCAAGCTCCTTGCAGATGCAAAATTACTATTGAAGTAGGTACAATCTTTACGGTTCCAGGTTTGGAAAAATCCTAGATTCCTGGCTTCACAGGCTTTCAAGGTCAGACGTCAGCAACCATGATATTTTTCCCATCTCTTCCCTAGGGTTGGTAATGGATGGTGATTCCTAAGAAGACAACACTTTCCGGAATCTAGTCTCATTCGGTAGTAGGGTTGCTAGGTGCCCCCTTTTGTGTACTGCTCTGTTCTTGGATATCTGCAGTAGGGGGCAAAGGGATTGCCCCTGAATCCTTGCTTGCTTGCTTGTTTGCTTGCTTATTAAAAACACTGTTGGAATAGGGCATGCTGCATATCCAAATCATGCTAATGTAACACTATGCAGTTTCCTCCCACATTTCCTTGGAAAAATTCCTGTAGACTCTGTTACATCTTTTGAAACGGCTATCCCAGTCTGAATCTGATTAAGAACCATATGGACGGAGACTGGAAAACTTTATGTCGCCCATCTAGAATTAGCACCCAGATAGGTGGGGATTCCTATGCCAGTTGTAATAGTACAGGAGACTAAACAGGAAAAGAAGACAGTCAAAATTGAACTAGGAGGAAGGGTTGTGAGAAGCACAAACAGAGCTGAGATGCTATTATCATATGACAGAAACAGAAAAGATCACTTTTCAGTGTTTGTTTTGGGAAAGAAGGTGAAGCTGGGTCAGAGCTAATGGGAACTGCCAACTTTAGCTACCAAATGGCAAACTGCTTCTGCACAAACAGCTAATGCTTCAGAGCCCTCGCTGTCCGTGTACACGGACAGGATCCTGGGACCCAACAGGGCATGCACTATCTTTGAGGGTGCTCATTTTCCATAGTACAAGTTTCTAAAGCATTTGGCTGCTCTCTCTCTAAATGCTTGGAACCTTTTAAAAATATCCTGAACACCATTGCATTATTTTTTCCCCCCACTTTCTTCACTAAATGAGAGCAATTGGCAACCACAGACAAGAAAAAGCTTGTTGTGCATATCCTAGGCATATTAAGTGACACATATTTTAAGAACCATTATCCCAAAACTACAGATAAAATCTCATGAAATTGAGACTTGAAAATGTATCCGGAAAGCAAAGAATGATTTCTTTCTGAGCATCACATTAATTCCACAAGGATCCTTCAATCAATCCAACCCAGAACTGAGATTAAAGCACCATCCAAGAGACTTTTAGGTAACGGACGTCATGGCAACCCCCCCACACTGCCCCCATGTCACGGTTTCTCCACCGTGCTTTGCAGATTGCCAGAATATCAATATTCTACTGTGCTGTGAAGCAGGGGGTGATTACAATATGCACCCCCCCCCCTCACTGCCCCCATGTCACAGTTTCTCCACCGTGCTTTGCGGATTGCCAGAATATCAATATGTCTACTGTGCTATGGAACAGGGGATGATTACAATATGTCCACAAGAATACCAAGGTGTACAGTATTCCCTTCTTGTTGGTACAGCTTAATCCTGCAATCTAGGGATGGTCCTTGGACAGAATCCTATTGTATTCTATGCACAAGCAAGAGGAGTCATGGAAATAGCAACTGCTAATGGACAAAAGGCCAGTCTCATGTTGGCCACATGCCAAATTGTGTGCCCAGATCACATACCCAATATCCCAACAAATAGCCATGGAAACTTCTGCTATTCCTCTTTCACACAAGTAAAAATCTACTGGCTAGAATCCTGTTGCAATTTAGGTGAGATTTGTGTAACTTGCCGTAGCTATTTGTGACTAACTGATGAAGTTCTGGGCTATATCACAGTTGTTCTGCCATGTTAAGTTATATAAACTTTACACAAACACTGAGAGGATTTGGGTTGATAGGATTCTGCCCAGCGAATCCTGGAAAAGCTATGTCCATCTTCCTTGCCAAGCCACAGTCCCCACATGCCACTGGATTTCCCTGCAGAAAAAGTGAGAGGCACTTTTCTCTGATTGATACTTGGGGGTAAGAGCAGGAATGTGTTTTGCCTTCTCTCCACCATCTCCAATGATTGAAAGAAAAACAAGGAAAAACATTTCAATGCAAGTGCTGGCTGCAGCAACAAACCTGCAGCTATCATCTGAATTAGGCAACCTGGGGTGCTCTGCACAGGCCCTCCTACTTAAAGTTAATTCCTCCTGCTGTGTTCTTACCGTCACGCTCTTCCTCCACAAAGTTCTCAAACTCATTCCTCTGTTCTTCAAAGTACTCCCTCCTTTGTTCATCTGCTGCCAGCATCTGGCGGGTCTCCGCTGCGTTAAAAGATGTACATTGAAGTTAGCAGGCAGGGCTTTTTAAAAAGCATGATGAGATGTTTTCCTCACTTTCATAACAAAAACAAAGTAATTAGCTAGAGCTCTCCAGACCATATATATTCACAAGCCAGCTACAGTGTTTATAAGAAGTCACTAATGATCATTACCACATCTGAATGTATTTGCAGAAAGGGAGGTGTTTAAAACCCAACATGTTACTATTTTGTTCATCTCTCTCTCTCTCTCTCTCTCTCAATATTATGCTGGAGATCATTTTCTCTCCTTCTCTGCAAGCCCTCTGGCAACATCCACCACATCCTCCATATACCCTTCTTGCCTCTGGGCTGATTTGGCCCTTTGGATTTCAGTTGCTAATTTCTACTACTGTATTCTGTTATACTTTTTTCTTATTCTTTCAGCGTTCACTGATGTTACTATATTACATCAGGTGGCAGATGCAGAAAGACTTATTTGTTCTAAATTAACTTCTTACTTGGTCATGTAGGTTGATTGCTTTTCCCATATATAATGGACGTGAAATGTGTGCTTTTTGGTTGTTTTCAAAATGAAGTCAGGTGTGCATTTCTTGGACTGCCTCCGCAGTTCTACTAAGAATTGCTTTGAGTCCTTGGTAGGACTAAGAAAAACAGTCATTCAGTTCAGAGTCCAGAAACTGCTGCCTATTTACCTTAAGTAAACAGTCAAAATGAGCTAGAGCAGCAGGTTTCTATATAGCCAGCAGGTATATTCGTTTCACCATGGTGTCCTGCACCTCCCACAACAGCTTCCTAGTCACTCATTAGACCATCCTATGATTGAATCAATTAAGAAAAATCCCCTTATTTCAAGTGTATTTATTTGGGACATGATACTACTTCTATTTCTAAAGACGTATGTTTGCTAATTTAGCAAAATCACCAAGAAACAAGAATATTCAAAAATAAAATTGACAAAATCCTGCCACCAAGAGAGCTTTCAAAATACTGGCTTCTCTACATCAAACATGAATGGATTCCACCATTGCTGCCTACTCTGATCTTTGCAATCTTCCTGCTACATTTTTCCTTGTCCTTTTGTAGCCGTCTGTCACTATGATGGATATAATCAGCTATCTATACACTCCATTGTTTAAGTGGATTGCAGTTAAAGCATAAACGTGTACTCTAAAAATCAAACGCAGAAGAATGAGCAATCCATTTTAATTCCAAACCACTCATCATTTCTGACCAGTTCATAAAACTTTTCAGAGCGTGGCAGACAATTTAGGATTGTGCCAGGAAAAATAAGAGATGAAAGGAACATTCAGTAAAATCACAGCTTTCTGTAAACACCCTGGAAACAGTCTCACCATTGAGTTCATCTCTGGATTTTGTAGCTCTCTTGCCTCGTTTCTTGAAAAAGTTAGAGGCATCTGACTCCTGCATGAAGACTCTTTTTTTCATGCCTGGAAGTAGGAAAACAAGTGAGTCTGACTACAGGTGAGAAATTCAGGTGAGAAATGGATTGGAGTAGGGGTGGGTGGGAGGTATTGGTATTAAACCATTTAAAACAACAATTTGTCTTTTAAAAACTCCCCTTCCCCCCTTTCCAAAATAATGGAATGTGTCACTTTGCATTTACCAACTTACTTTCCTTGCTTGATTCTCCAGCTGCTGCTTTTGTGGGACCCACAGCCGTGGCATTGCCTCCTTCAAGAACTGGGCAAGACAAAATCACAAGTTCAAATTTTAATTCAGTCGCTCTGTTTAGAATCTTGGAGAAAAGAGCAACTGAAAGTTTTAAAGACTACAACCTGCTAACACCCAATCAACCCTTAACGTTCTAATCTACTGAAGGCAAATAGTTAATGCTTTTCAGCCCACTGACAGTAATAGAAGTCCAGTCCATATCTTGGATACAGGTAGAGAAACAGTATTTATGATGATTTCAGCTGGATGCTAAAAACCTTCCAGCTGTTCAAGTGCTGATTCCAACAGAAAGGTTTCCAGTCTTCCCCATCTCTTTAAACTAGCAAAAACTGCTGTCTGTCACCATAGTGTATTCTTTTGCTGAAATCCAACCTTTCCTTTTGAAACAACGGTTGCTGCAAATCATACATACCAATCAGGAGCACGAGAGTCACGAGGCAGGAGACAACAAGCACTTGTTTCCAGTCCATTGTTGCTCTGTTCCAGCCGGCACAAGAAGCAGTGTCCCTGGGACCTTGGGAGAAATGAGTGAAAATGCGTCTATTTCAACAGCCCTGTCCTCCTTCTAGGAAATGTAGCAGGAAAATGAAGCTCTTCCCTTTTTGGTGGCAGGTTGAGAGGAGGGGATCTGGGCTGGCACTTGAGTTGGCAGCTCCTGTGCCATATTAGAGAGACAGGTCTGAGGGAACATGGAAACATCAACATCAGAAGAACAGTGTGTATCCTGTCAGTTCTGTGATGCTCAGCACACACACAGCACCCTGGAGTGAAAGCATAATGACTTGCAAAGCCATGTGGCAATATTTCAAAAAATAAATAATTTTATTTGCAAAAACAGTTGAAGACTGAAGTCCAGCAAGGAGTGAAGTGAAATATATCCACGGTTGCTGTAAGTAGGGAAATAGGCATTTAATAGTGTGGGGAAAGCAACACGTGTAACTTAATCTGGTCTTCTGTTCTGCACAAGGGCTAAAGATGACAAGGTGCTTCCACATACAAGACTCCCAGCACCGCCACATCATTGCTATTCTGCCATGAGACCCAAGCAGTGTATTTGCCAAGCATTTTGGGAATGTAACAGTTTGCCCTTGCTAGATTCCCTACAAATTCGGTGATAGAAAATATTTCTTCCTAGCTGTCCTTTGGTAGTTTAACTGAAAAGAAGTATCTCCGTTTTCTGAAAAGTAAAACTGTCTCTGAACAGAGTCTTTGGCCCTGTTCTGTTCCAGAGTCTTTCTCTTACCTCTGATAGTTAACCCTGTTCCAAGCTGAGCTGAAACTGAAAGCCAAGCTGGTTACTTAAATTTTCTGTGATGTCACTCAAGCCATCTTTGTCTAATTTATTTAATCTAAGCTTTATCATATGAAAGGCTGGCTACATAGCTCGCTAAATTAGATATCTGACTGCAGAAGCCATCATTGAGAGTTCAATGCCACATTGTGCCTCCCAGAACAGCCAACCTGTGTGGCCTTGGGCAAGCTGCACAGTCCCAAGATGGCCCTAGAAGAAGGGAATGGTCAACCACTTCTAGGTATTCTCTACCTGGAAAACAATTATTATAATATGTGAAGAAAACATTTGATTTTAAAATTTGCCAAATTTACACTTCCAGATGAAAGTACAGATTAGCTGGCTGTACCTTACAGCCAGCTAATCTGGCTTTCCAACAACCAATAGCATGAACGGCCATAAATATAGACTGATAGTACAGTAATTGATTAGACAAATTTGTGTGCAACACCATTGTATGAGATTTTACCCAATATATAGATAATAGTGGGCACCCAATGTAGCATAGTGGATAAGAGTAATGGACTCAAGAGACCTGGATTTGATTCCTCAGCTCTGGCATGGAAGCTTGGGGTTGAGGTGAACTGAACCAGTAAAAGCACACTTTACATATTCGACTTACCTTGAAAACCCTATTGGGATTGCTATATGTCAGTTCTGACGTGATGGCACAAAACAACGTAGATAATTGTAATGGGGACTTGTGATTGGAGTGGGGGTGCCCTCCCAAATTTTGAGGTGCAGCATCCCTGCCTCCCAGTCCATGGATAACAGGTTACTTACGGTTATTGTATTGCTTGTTTAGCAGCTCTTCAACATGCCTCTATTGTGCCATAATTTCCCTGCGGACATTTAATATTTTAATAAATTCAACTTGAATCTTTATTGCCACAGCAGTTCTCTATTCAGCCCTTAAGCTCAACTGCAGAGTCTACAGCTGTTACTTTTTCCTTGCTGCTTCATACTTTTAAGTCTAACAGTACAAATAAATCTACTGGATGAGTGTGAGCAGCTAGAGAGTTGGCAGGAATGCAGCTTCTAGTGTGGCAAGTTCCAAACAGCAATTATCAATCAGTGATAATAAGACAGCCATTTCTGTCAAGCGTTCCTCAATTAGTTTTGGGGCAAGTTAAATTTGGTTGGTTGGATCCATTGTCTCTCCAAATGTCTAGCTCATTGTTGGGACTAAAATTGAGCATGTCTCTGCAGTCTTGTTATGGTGCAGAAAAAACAAGCCAAGCCATGTGGTCCTTACACAATACAAAAAGAAAAAGAAAAAGAAAAGCAGGCGATATCCTTGTTAGACCAGTGATTTTGATGATGATGATGATTCTATCTGATGCTGCTCCCAGGTTCTAGAACTCCCTCCCACAAGAGACTAGGCTGGCCCCATCTTTACTGTCCTTCTCCAAGCAGACAAAGATCTTTCTCTTCAAGCACATTTTCCCAAAGTGACTGGCTGCCTGTGTGAGAATTTTAAATAGATTGTTGTACCTTCCTGCATTGAATGTGTTTTGGCATTGCTTATGTTTTTTAGTATTCTATTCATTTGATTCTTTTAGTATTGCATACTCGCTGTTGTTAGGTTAAATTCTGTCTTTTAATTTTTTTAAGCCACCTTGGGGTCTTTTTAAGAAATTCTTGCCCTGTCTCATTAGCTTTAAAGGTGTTCAGTTGAGTTTAAATTATTCTAGCCTGCAAAAGCACACAGTTTTGGACCTAGGAAAGAGATATTGTCCTATTAGCGCATTGGATACATTTTGCCCAACTGAATCTGTGAGTTTGCTTGTGTCCCTTCGTCCTGTGTCACTCTTCGCTCCACATATCACAGACATGGAAGCTGGTGCTTCACTCACCAATCCAGTGCATAGTGCTAGTACATCAGTGTCTTCTGAAATAACGACAGACTTTGCCCTGGAATCTGCCTTGGTTGCATGAAATACCTGCCAGCGTCAGCTTCTTTTGCTGCTTCTTTTTCCATGGTGTAAATCTCTGGATCTGAACCACAGATTACTGTATTTTCAGTAAGTACCAAGTCCAGGAAACAATTAATTAAGGGACTTCTAAGTGTTACAAGAGAAATAGTAGCCACCTAAGTAAAACCGAAAGCCTGCAGCACTGAGCAAAGAGATTGCAGCATTACAACCAAAACCTATTGTAATTTGGAGTGTTTACTTGGAAGTAACCAGTGCTGTATCCTGTGTGTGGTCACTCCCTGCTTTGAAAACATATTCACCACATTTGCACTGAGTTTGCTGCCTGAGGAACTGCACAGAGATATTCCCCTGCTTTGAAGCAGACTCATCCTTCCCCCTTTTACAGAGGTCTTAAAGATCAAGCAGATCTGGATTGCTCTAGAAAAGTCAGCAGCAAACTTTCACTCTTCTGGGGGAGAATCATAGAGAAGGACTGCAATCTGATTCAGGCAAGGGAGACATCCAATGGGTCAATCACTCACTGAGTGTATATAGGAAGGTGGCTCCTCAATGTTCATAGCTGGGAAATGTGTTGTTGAACTACATCTGCCAGGCCTGGGCAACATAACCATGGGTGAGGGATAGTGAAAGTTACAGTTCAACATTTTGAGGCTCAAATGTTAACTCCTCTTGCCATAATATTCCGGGCAGAATTCAAAGTGATGGTCTAAATGGCTTGGGTCCAAGATATCTCAAGGAATGTATCTCCCTTTATGAGCCTGCTCAAGTGTTAATATCATCAGGAGAGGCCTTCCTCTTGGTCCTGCCACCTTCACAGGTGTGTGTGGTGGGTGGGGAGCAGGGCCTTCTCTGCTGCTGTTCCCAGGCTCTAGAACTCCCTCTCACAGGAGGCTAGGCTGGCCCCATCTTTACTGTCCTTCCCCCAAGGAGACAAAGATCTTTCTCTTCATGCAAGTTTTCCCGAAGTGACTGGCTGCTTGTGTTCCATTGTTCCACAACAATCCATTTTAAATCCATTTTAAATGGATTGTTGTACCTTGCCACATTGAATGTGTTTTGGCACTGCTTGTGTTTTTTAGTATTATATATTCACTGTTGTTTGCTTAAATACTGTCTTTTGTTGTAAGCCACCTTGGGGTCTTTTTAAGAAGAAAGATTTTAAATAAATGAATGAATAACAGTTCCTTGGTTTTGAGGCAGCTGAACTAGTTGTAAGCCTAGAAAAATAATAGTAGGATTTCAATCATTCTCATAGAATGGGTTTTCTATCCCTCACCATGGTGGGCACCCTTCCCTGGAAGTGTTCCACTTGGTCAATGTCCTTCTTAGAAAATGGGACTGAGAACTAGACATAGATGTTCCAAATGAAGCTGATGAATGCAGAAAACATTGGAATTGGAAATTTATCTGACCCAGACACAATGATTCTTCTAATGTAGGCCAATAAAGTGTTGGCTTTTTAAGCAATTGCATTGCCCTGATGATGCCAGTGCATGATTCACTAAAATACCTAGGTGGTTCTCACATCTACTGCTGCTGAGTCAGGTATCTTTCATCTTATAATTGCACCAATTTTACTTTAAACCTAAATCCATAGCACTAGCTATCCCTCCTAGCTTTGCATCTTCTGCAAATGTGATCTTGCATTCAAATCATGTATATACAAATATTGAAAAATACAGAGCCTAGTACAAACCCCTTCAGGATTCCAGTTGAAACTTTCTTTCAGAATACAGTGAATCACTAATTAGCATTCACTAATAGTACTACCATTTTACTATCTTGTTGACAAGGAAAACCTGAGACATGGGATACCTTGTCAGATGTTTTGATGAAATTAAGGGATTTTTATTGTTGTTGTTTAGTCGTTAAGTCATGTCCGACTCTTTGTGACCCCATGGACCAGAGCATGTCAGGCCCTCCTGTCTTCCACTACCTGTTTGGTCAAATTCATGTTGGTAGCTTCAATGACACTGTCCAACCATCTCATCCTCTGTTGTCCCCTTCTCCTCTGCCTTCACTCTTTCCCAACATCAGGGTCTTTTCCAGGGATATTTCTTTTCTCATGAGATGGCCAAAGTATTGAAGCCTTCAGGATCTGTCCTTCCAGTGAGCACTCAGGGTTGATTTCCTTTAGAATGGATAGGTTTGATCTCCTTGCAGTCCAGGGGACTCTCAAGAGTCTCCTCCAGCACCACAATGCAAAAGCATCAATTCTTCAGCAGTCAGCTTTCTTTATGGTCCAGCTCTCACTTCCATACATTGCTACTGGAAAAAAGACAGGTTACTCACCTGTAACTATAGTTCTTCAAGTGGTACTCTGCGAATTCACACTTCTGGGTAGACTGCGCCTGCGCAGGAATCCTCGGAGCATTCTAGAGCTTCTAAGGAAAACAAAGGAGTGACGTAGGCATTACCCCCATTGCGCATGCCCATGCCAGTTCCATTTTTATTATTTTTATTCGCCACCAGGTGCTCGGTAGAACGGTAGTGGAGAGTGACGGATAGAGGGGAGGCAGGGCGGGTAAGTGTGAATTCACAGAGTACCACTTGAAGAACTATAGTTACAGGTGAGTAACCTGTCTTTCTTCAAGCGTGGACTCTGTGAATCACACTTCCGGGTGACTGATTAGCTCGCTTACCGGATGGAGGGACGTCACTCTAATATCGAGGACAGGACAGCTCTCCCAAAGGCAGCGTCGTTTTTGGCTCGGAGGTCGAGCTTGCAGTGAGTAATGAATGTGGACGCGGTGGACCACGTTGCTGCCTTGCAAATTTCAGGGATATCCACCCCACGCAGGAGAGCTGTACAGGTAGCTACGGCTCTGGTGGAGTGCGTCCTGAGGCCCTGAGGGGGGGCTGTGCCTTGTAGCTGGTATGCCAGCTCGATGGTGGACACTATCCACCGAGAGAGCGTGGATGAAGCTGCTGCGGAACCCTTCCGTGGGCCGTGAAAGCAGAGGAAGAGCCTGGGGGAAGCCCGAATGTCCTTGGTCCTGGAAGTGTAGAAGGCCAACGCCCTCCTGACGTCTAATGAGTGAAGCATGCGTTCAAGCTCGGAGGAGGGAGCAGGGAAGAACGCAGGTAGGGAAATTGGCTGATTCATGTGGAAGCTTGAGACCACCTTAGGGAGAAAGGACGAATCCGGGTAGAGAACCACCTTTTCCTTGAAGAACTGTAGGTAGGGGGAGTCATGGCGCAACGCAGCCAGCTCACTAGCGCATCTGGCCGACGTGATGGCTACTAGGAAGAGAGTCTTGAGTGATAGGAGCTTCAAGGTTGTCCTAGCCATAGGTTCGAAAGGTGGTCTTGCTAGGACTTTGAGCACCAGCCGGACCATTGTGGCGTGGGAGATCTAGCTGGTGGGCATAAATTCAGGATCCCGCGAAGAAATGCCCTGACTGTAGGGTGTGAGAACAGTCTGGCGGACTCGGATTCCCTCGGCTGGAAGGACACTATAGCCGACAGATACACCTTCAGGGTGGACAACGCCAGACCTTGATCGAAAAGGTGATGGAGAAAGAGAAGCAGTGTCTTGAGCGACACCGGCCTGGCTACCAGTTTCCTGGACTCAGCGAATCGCAGGAAGTTCCTCCACTTATAGGAGTATAGGAGAGTCGTGGACGGTTTCCTCGCTTGACTGAGGACTTCGCAGATCAGGGCAGAATCCTCCAAGCCGTCAGGTGTAGGGACGGAAGGTCCGGGTGGAGAACCTGCCCCGCGTCCATTGACAGCAGTTGTGGGGTCAGAGGTAATGTCAGATAGTCAACTGCTATTTCCTTGAGCGTTGTGAACCATGGCTGGCGTGGCCACCATGGGGCTACCAGAATGGCATCGGCCCTGTCTTGCTGTATCTTTACAACTGCCCTCTGGACCAGGGGAAACGGGGGGAAGAGATAAAGGAGATGGCGGGCCCAGGATATCATAAGGCCATCGCCAAGTGACCCTTGTCCTCTCCCCGCGCGGGAACAGAACTGCTCGCATTTTTTGTTGTGAGGCGTGGCGAAGACGTCTATCAGTGGAGTT